CCACAGTCTAGAAATCTTCTAAGTGTGCTTCAAAGTGTGTATAGCGTGTGCGAGTGTGTAAATATGTAAACATATAAGCAGAACATATAATATAATAGACTGTAATGACATATTATATTGCCGTAATTGAAAACATTTGTGTGCGCCTGTGTATACTCAAATATGCAACAATTATTGATACAAAATATGTTCAAACAGTATTTGAAACACAATTAGTGAAAAAAAATTAGATAAAATGCGCTTAGACATTGTAAATAAATAGCGCGAAAATATATTTGTGGCAACTCTGGCTGTTTGAGGACCGCGCGCAACATCTCCCGGGCGTGTACTGCATGAGCGACCATGCAGATTGTGACGTCATCGCAGAGCTTCTCGGCTCTATTGCAACAAAAGTAAGTACAATAGAATTTTTTTTTATTTTTCCCGTGATCAGTGAACAGAACTTAACAGATTAGCAAAAAAAAAAATTTTTTTTTTTTCAAAATGACATGCGCCTGTGTGGATAGCAGGATATTAGACCCCGAGCATGTTAAGGGTTAAGATTGCAACGAACACAATCGGTAAAGTTGTTTGGATTAGGTACATAAAAATTAGGGGGGATTGGGTAGCAGTAGTTAGCCGCGAGCGCACTGGCGAAAACACAGGGGGGAAATCATGTTGGAAAGTTTATACGTTTCCTGACCCTACTTTTCTATGTACGTATTTCTTTTTTATACCAATGTGTTCGCAATAAAATTTTCTATAAGATGAACTGTATAACATTTGTACAAAGCATGTGTAAGAGAAGCGCCAAATATAGAACCACGTCGCTCAGTATGCGTTCGCGGCAGAAACGAACGCATTGTTTTCGTTTTTGATGTTTGTCATGTTTATACTTGTTGAAACATTTTATAATTTGTATGACAGTGATCGCAGTAAAATTCCCTACACAGACATATACATAACACATACAAATATTTCCCACGTGTTGGATATATCAACGGCTAAAGGGAACCCACTGCCACACGCTCGCCACACCCCCAAACATACTTTGTGTATTTTTTTTTTTACTCATAGAAGTTTATATGATATAATATTCATTCTGGTACCAAAAAATTCGCAAATAAATTCTCTACAAAACAAAATATCCCCATCCATTTCGGTTAAAAAATGGAATTTATAGAAATATTTTTTGATGGACGAGAAAAGGGGCTGTTATGCGGAATCGTAAGAGCCTTCGCGCGACGAGTTATCTCTAATCTAAAGCCCGAGCTGTCAGACGGCAGTTGCCACAAATATATTATTACCTAATTATTTCAATGTCTCTGATTGATTTTTTCTTAGTTTTTTGCAGTAATATTATTCCATACAGTGAATTGTGGTATATTTATATAATAAAATGTGTGAACCATCGCTGTACTCAAAATTATGGTGTGCATATTAGTGATTCAATTATGTTCATAAAACAATAAACAAATAGTTTTGCTGTTGTTACACTATATATACAGGTTATATATATATATATAAGTATCTGCATGTTTTGTTCACCATAACGAACTACTAAGTTGGTCTTGTGAGTCAAAAAGCAACGAGGAGTGACCGCCACACACCAGCGAGCCACTCACTGCCACTCCCTCCCTCAACACCACCTCACTCGCCCTCATTCTCCTCCCACAATACTGTTTTTGCATTTATTCACTATACACAGACGTTATATATACGTATTTACATGTTTTGTTCACCATAACTGTACATCTAAGCTTGTATGGTGAGTAAAGGCACAAAGACGTAGCTACTCACACAGTCAGCTGATCGGCGGCCGCTTTCAAGGCCAGATGCACTAATATTTCTCCTCCAACAATATTGTTTGTGGTGTTATTACACTCTATACACACACATTATATATAAGTATCTACCTGTTTTATTCACCATACCTGTACAAATAAGCTGGTATGGTGCCCAAAGACCATAGTGGCCATCAGTAAACAACATGCCAAGTCGTGCAGACGACGCTCCTCCCTCACCAAAATGGCGGCTCCCAACCTACTACTCTCGCTGTTATCACACTCTATACATACGTTATATATAAGTATCTACATTTGTGTTCATCATAGCGAACCACTAAGCTGGTATGGTGAGTGCAGTCAATAAATGGTAGCCACACACAGTCAGAAGACGACGCCACAACCCTCCCTCCACAGCCTTACTCGTCCCTCCATGGAGCACAGCGCTAAATATCACCACAATTCTGCTATTATCAGAACCCTGGTCCTGGTCAGTTTTATCACAGTCAGGGGGCTTCAGTAATACTATCACTGCTAAATAATAGCAGTATCATTTATATTATGGCATTTTGTAGGCGATGCTGTGGTCACAAGCTGAACAGCGGTGCTGTGAGCTCGTGCTGCGTGCGCCAGCCTTGGTGGCTTGCTCAATACTGACGCTCTAACACCCAAGAATGTTGCCTGGATTTTTTTTCTAGGTGGCATCTGGCAACTATCGGTCGTGGCTGTACTATAGCTGCCCCTAACCCAGGCGGGGCGTTTAAATTATAGCGCTAGACACAAAATCATATATCCCTAAACATATAAGTACAGGTATGACATGGATAAGGGGGAATGTATAATGATGAGTAAACGTACTTGGTGTGAGCTTTAAGCTCCTTCATAACCAGCTACCTATCCAGCATTCTATAGTGCACACTACAAATACAAGCTTATTAGACAGTCGGATACTTAAATTCTCCTATTGTGGTAGAGGTGTTGCTGCTGTAGTTCACTTAGTAGGATAGAATAAGATGTCTATCGTGCGTAACTCGTGTCACAATTCTCTCAGGAGCACTCGTTTCGTGTGTTTTGTTATGATTCTCTGTGTGTAGTGATGCTGCTTCCCTCTCTATTCCAATAATATCCTGGTTCTACTTTTGATTTAATTTAAGGATTTAGGGAAGCATGCTGTACTTTACTGCTAATTATATTATATTCAGTCCTAGTGAATACTTTTTTATTAAGTTTAAACACTAGACTAAGGTTTAAAAGAAATGAGAGATAATATATATATATATATGTCTTGTTGATGATGTCACAGAGTCTCCTGTTCTCTGAATTGTAAGGGTAACTGTTGTTATTATGTGTCGGATTTCCGACATGTAGTGTCATATATTTATATACATGTATGTAAAATGTGTGAACTATCGCCATACTCAAAAGTATGGTTTGCATATTAGTGGTTTAATTATTATGTTCATAAAACAATAAACAGTTTTGCTGTCATTACACTTTATACACACACATTATATATAAGTATCTGCATGTTTTGTTTACTATAATGAACCCTAAGTTGGTATATTGTGTCCAGACAATAACAGAGGTCGCTACACGCTAACATGGATGAAAATTTTTCTGACTGATAGAAAAATGAGGGCAGTAATAAGAGGAAGTGTATTGGACTGAAGAAATATTAAAAGCAGAGTACCACAGGATTCAGTTCTTGCACTGATAATGTTCATTGTCTACATAAACGATCTTCCAGATGGAATACAGAATTATAAGAACATGTTTGCTGATGATACTAAAATAATAGGGATGATAAGTAGCCTAAATGATTGTCATACCCTTCAAGAAGACCTGGACAAAATAAGTATATGGAGCACCACTTGGCAAATGAAATTTAATGTAAATAAATGCCATGTTATGGAATGTGGAATAGGAGAATATAGACCCCACACAACCTATAAATTATGTGAGAAATCTTTAAAGAAGTCTGATAAAGAAAGAGATCAAGGCGTGGTTCTAAATAGAAAACTATCACCTGAAGATCAAATTAAGAACATTGTGCAAGGAGCCTATGCTATACTTTTTAACTTCAGAATTGCTTTTAAATACATGGCGAAATACCAAAGAAATTGTTCACGACTTTTGTTAGACCAAAGCCAGAATATGCGGCAGTTGTATGGTGTCCATATCTTAAGAAACACATCAACTGGAAAAGGTACAATGACATGCCACTAAGTTGCTCCCAGAACTGAAGGACAAGAGCTACAAGGAGAGGTTAGAGGCATTAAATATGCAAAACTAGAAGACAGATGAAAAAGAGGTGATATGATCACTACGTACAAAATAGTAACAGGAATTGATAAAATTGATAGGGAAGATTTCCTGAAACCTGGAACTTCAAGAATGAGATGTTATAGATTTAAACTAAACACAGATGCCGAATAAATATAAGAAAATTCACTTTTGCAAACAGAGTGGTAGACGGTTAGAACAAGTTAGGTGAGAAGGTGGTGGAAGCCAAGACCGTCAGTAGTTTCAAAGCGTTATATGACAAAGAGTGCTGGGAAGACGGGACGCCACGAGCGTAGTGCTCATTCTGTAACTACACTTAGGTAATTACACTTAGATAATTACACACAGTCAGCTGATGCGCCCTCACCAACATTCCTCCTCCCACCATACTTTTGTTCTGTTATCACACAATATACATGCACACTATATATAAGTTTCTACATGTTTTGTTCACCATAACTGTACAACTAAGCTGGTATGGTGTCCAAACAGCATAGTGGCTACCCTACTCAGCAAGACAAGTCACACACTAGCCAGCAGACGACACCACCTCCCTCACCAAAATGGCTCCTCCCATCATACTCCTTCTACTGTTACTATACTATATACACACACATTATATATAAGTATCTAAATGTTTTGTTCACCATAACTGTGCAACTAAGCTGGTATGGTGTCCAAACAATATAGTGGCCACAAAAAAATGCATGGCAAGTGACACAGCAGCTAGGAGACAACAGCCTCACGCCCTCCCTCACCAAAATTGCGTCTCCCAACATGCTCATTTTGCTGTTATTATACTATTTTGTATTATAGTATTATACTATACTATTTAAGCTTAAGGGTTAAATTGACTAGGTATCAGGAAAATTGTTTTAAACACAATATACATTAATTTGTTACAATGACATTGAAATATTATTAATCATGCCTTTCTCCTTTATCATCCCCCAGAATTGAAGACACGTCCTCAATAAGTGTTAGGGCATCGTCTAGCATTTGCCTTAACCAATCAGAAGGACTGAAATTAGAAAAGGACTACCATATGCGAGTAAGTTAAGAGGTTTATTTATAATTATCAAAAATATTTTCTGTTGATATTGATGCTTTTTACTGAATATGAACTAGACTGCTCTACATAAAGGCAAAGCTACATCTTCTGGGGAGGATGGAGTTACTTACAGCACACTGTATGCTTCTGTTAGAGAAGCATACAAAAAAAAAGAGCCTTAGAAAAACAGTCCTGAACCAAAGGGGCCACCACAAACTGAGGAGAAGAGAGAAAAGAGAGCACTCGCTTCAACAACCAGGACTGCTCAGGCGGCGCATGAGCAGGCCAGAGGTGAAAGAACGCCCGAGAAAGCTTGCAGAATGGAGTAGAAGTGACATCCATCCCGAATGCAAGCTGCAGCGGTCCACCAGCGCCGCACGATATGAGGCGACAGTATTTGGCATAAAATCACGATCCTGAAACAACCAAGAGAGAAAGGACAAAACAACCCGATCAGAAATCGATGACAACCTACAGAGACAAAAATTGCTGAAAGGACCGCCAGGAAATTTCATACTGTCGTCTAGACGAAACTCACAAGTGGGACACCATCAACGAAGCCACCTGATCACCATAAAAGTGCTGATACATCCGCGTCGTCTAAAAGACCAGATGCGAAGAGTGGAGGAGAAGATTGAACCAGCCATGTACCGGACCGGACCAATCTGCTGAAAGAGGCGGAGCCGCGGGAAGACCCTCGGGTTCGGACATCGAGCAAGAAGCTCCTGAAGCCAAGGCTGGGCCGGCCACCAAGGAGCCAACAGGACTACTCTCCCCTGATAAGTCTCCAACCGAGCCAGGATCCGGAGCAACAACCGGACTGGTCAGAAGATGTACAGGTAACTTCACCTTGACCAGTCCAACCGAAAAGCATCGACCCCGACGGCTTCGCAGTCTGGGAAGGGCACCACATAAACTGGAAGGCGCCTCGACCACGCCGATGCAAAGAGGTCCACCTCTGGGTGTCCATACGTCTGGCAGAGCCAACTGAACGAGTCGGCGTCAACCGTCCATTCCGTGGAAGGGGAATGAACAGAGACAGGCCGTCCGCCAGGACATTAGACACCCCCTGAACATGAATCGCAAGGAGAGCCAAACCCCGAGAACTCAGTAGACGAGTCACCAGAAGCGACCAGCCCTAAAGAACCAAGGACCGCATCGAACCACCGCGGTTCAAGCAATGATCCACCGGGAAGCAGTCCGAATGGAGCTGGACCGTTGCTCCTCGAGCGACACAAATCCTCTGAAGCAAATGCCACACCTCTGCAAACTCTCGCGCCATGCTGTGAGCTCGACAGAAGGACGGACCCACTGACCCAGGCTGACCTGGTGAGCACTTGGCACAAAACCCCAGCTGAGAGACAAGGCATCCGTGAACACATCGAGCGACGGCTCAGGGAGGCGCCACAGCACAGAACCCCGAAAAAACCCACAGAGGAAGTCAGCGACGCAGCAGCCGACGCAAGGCTCCTGGGATTCGAACCCATCAATCGCGAGAGCGGCGGAAGGGACGACCCCGAAGAAACCAGAACATCTGCCGAAGCCAGATCCGACCCGATGGGTAGACCAGCATGACGAAGTTCAGGCTCCCGCACAGCTGCTCGAACAACCGACGTGTGACCCGGGTGCACTGGAAAAACAGCCGGTGGCAGGACCGCAGCTGTAACAGTATCACAAGAGGGAGAGACAATGAAGCGGTCCGAGAATCCCACACAAGACCCAGCCGCGTCCGAACCTGAGAGGGAACCAAATGAGACTTCTTCCAGTTCACCAAGAACCTGAACCCGGCGAGCTGGGAAAGAACCAAATCCCTGGCGAGCAGACACGCGGACTGGCTGGGAACCCACAACAGCCAGTCGTCGAGGTAAGCCAGAATCTGAACCCCTAAGAGATGCAAACAGGTCACCACGACCCGGGTAAAGCGTGTGAACGCTCGAGGTGCCAGATTCAAGCCGAATGAAAGGCAACGAAAGCAGAAAGCTTGTTGCCCCACAACAAAAACCGAGCCAGTCCCTGAACCCCGGAAGAATCTGGAAGTGCCATTACGCGTCCCGGAGGGCCAGAGACACCATCCAGGCACCCGGTGCCAAAAGTAGCCAGACCTGAGACAGAGTGGTCATCCGAAAGGAGGGACAAAAGACCCAGGGATTCAGATTAGGCTAGTCCAGTATGAATCACAGATTTGCACCATCCTGTTTCGGAACTGAAAAGAGGCGGGAAACCCACCTGAGGGACGTAGTCGTTTCGACCACACCCAAGCAAACCCACTCCCGGAGGACCTGACAGAGCACAGGAGAAGAAGCCTGCCCTGCCAACCTCGATCCCCCCGAAGGAGGAGGAGTGACCCAACGCCATCGCAGGCCAGAGGAACGACCCGAATTGCTCACAAATCGTGGGACCAAGCGAGAGCAAACAGCGCGAGACTCCCCCCTATCGTCCTGTCAATGGGGCAACCCGTGAAAGGGCCAACGACCCCTAAGAGAGCCCAACCGACGCTGAGAGCGATCACTGCGCCGACCAGACGACGACGGCGCCAGAGGAGGTGCCGGCCCCGAATTTGGCATGACTGGCTTACAATGACTGAAGGAACCCCAAGACTTGGCACGACCCTTCTGGGCAGGACATCCATGGCCTCCCCGGAGAACTTACAAGTCCGACAAGGCCGTCAACTAGACGAAGCCACCTGCAGAAAATGCACCATCGCAGACTCTGCAAACAGCAAAGGACAAAAAGGGGAAGAAAAACTAAGAGCCAGGGCCCAAGATGGTTCCAAAAATTTGATGAACACCGAATGTCAGCACGCGAGGTGAGAAGCAAAGAACAGACACCGCCTCCCTCAGAAACAGTGCATACAACTCACCCAAAGCAGCCGGCACCCAAGCTGCCGGAGCAAACGCACCGGACCCCCGCCCGGAACCCAGCTCCTCCATACACAGCACCAGCCAGTACAAAGACAGCTCCAGCAGGGAAAAGAAGCGCAAGACCAAAGCCAACTGCCTACGAGCGCACAAATCCTCGGCCCCCAGGGATGCCGAAAGGGAGGGAACTTGCACATGAAGTCACACTTGGCTGACATCATAAGGAAGGACGGGGATAAAGAAGCAAGTCTTGAGGTGCTCCAACTCACTCCCCAGGAAAACCTGAACGACCGTAGGTAACTCTCGCCATTCAAGTGTGCAGTCCGACAGGACAAATACCAAGCCCCTTACGAAGAAAAGGTAGTCTGCCAGCCAGGAAGACTCCTGCACCCTGTAACGCACCCTATAAGGAGGAGCCAAACTCAAAAAGAAGGCTTAATTATCGAGGCGTAATCCAGGTCTTGCAGGAGGTAAGCCGCAAGGGGTCTCCCACACCACCTCAGTGGGACGCGGGAAGCAAAAAACCTCCAGCAGGAGGGAACTGAACAACCCAAGGGAACTCGGAACCAAACCCGGGGAGGAGTCGAACTCATAACAAAATCGTACAGGGAGGAGGATAGGAAAACCCCTCCTCCTGTAACAAGCCCCACACCAAGGGTACCAAACACCCAAGCAGGGACCACTGGGGCACAGGCCCCCCCCAAGTCAACTCCTCCCCAGCCCCGGAATCCTCCACGCCAGAACCCGGGGCCAAGCCGTCCTCCAAACCCTCTACCTTAGGAGAAAAGCAGAGTCCACTGGAAAAGCAGGGATGAAGGGGGCCCGCTGGCGTGGCCCAAAAGCTACGGCAGGAGGACCAGGCTCTAATGCCTCCGCCGCCGATTATTAGCATTAGGAAACATTGCACCTGACACATTAGCATTAGGAAACATTGCACCTGACATATTAGCATTAGGAAACATTGCACCTGACTCATGAAGGGCGTCCTTGCTAGTGCTGGTCCTGTAGGCCTACTGTGAAACCGTACCAAAAACTTTTGAATTTTAGTTTGTTTCTTCGTTGTCCGGTGCTTCACTATAATATCTTTCGTACTCTTTAGGTGTCGATAATAATCTGAGATGCGGAAATCACCATCCCCCCCCCACCACCCACGCCCCCCACACCATCCCCCACACCCCCCACACCATCCCCCACACCACCCACACCATCCCCCACACCACTAACACCATTTGCCCAACCAACCCTCACCCTTTTTCTAATAAAAAGACTATTTTCAGTGTAGATAATGTGATAATTATCATTAAATTGACCCGTGGCATCTGATGAGGAGAGGAGAGTGAGGTAGTGGCTGGTCTCTGGTGGTCAGAAGCAGGAAGGTGGGGGGGGGGGAGGCCGGAGGGGGGAGCATGGAGGCGCCAATCACGTGTTGCCTCTACAGCCTCTACTGACACCACAATTACTCCAGCTTCCCTTGACAACTTCTACCATTGACAACCAGCCTCTACTGACACTATTATTACTCCAGCTTCCCTTGACAACTTCTACCACTGACAACCAGCCTCTACTGACACCACTATTACTCCAGCTTCCCTTGACAACTTTTGCCTCTGACAACCAGCCTCTACTGACACCACTATTACTCCAGCTTCCCTTGACAACTTCTACCACTGACAACCAGCCTCTACTGACACCACTTGCCTCCTGACAACAACTCTCTCACCAATGCCCCCCTGACACCATTTTATCACCATTTCAGCTGGTTGTCAGCTGCCTGGCTGACAACCTGCCTCCCATGAGAATACGTAACTTACACCACCTGCCCCCTAACAAAAAACCCTAACCACTGACACCACTTGCCTCCTCACAACAACTCTCTCACCAATGACCCCCCTGACACCATTTTATCACCATTTTTATCATCATTTCTCCCTAGAAACAATGGGTAAGGATAATAAAACACTATATAACTGTTTACACTCTGGCGAATCACAGTTGATGACAGCCAGCTCCGACGCTCGGCCTCGGTGACCGCTTAGACGAACAATCCTCGCTTAATCGAACATTTGTATGTTCCACTGAACATTTGGTACCGAATTCAATTTGTTCGGCTCTTCCGGGAATTCGATAGAGCGGGGTTCGTTA